GATTGGAATTGAACTTAATTTTAATATTTGAACTTATTTAATTTAAAGTCGAATTAGTTCAAATAATTCATATTAATATATATTTACTTTTTTTTTGCACGCGATTGTAGTTAATTTCTGTGGCTAAGTGTATTTTTCGATATTAGCAACCCACATACGATCCGAATGAGATTCGTTGCCACTATAGTGAATATCCTGCAATCTCTTGTATTGATGCATTGGAACAAAACGTTGGTTCTGTGAATGGTAAGAAATTTTGACATTAATTATTTCATTCATTTGACTGATTAAATAAATTTAAAAATTTTGCAGTGACGATAACATGGCATCGAATTCCTTTTACTGAGAATATAGCAAAAAAATATCGTTTTGGAAAGCATACTTCTTCCTTACCTGATTTGATTGGAGTTCGTAAAAATTTATTAGAACAAATTCGCGTAGCTTATAGATATTACGGAGAAAATAGTTGTGTAATGCATGAGGGTCGCGGTCGATGTATTGGAGGTAAACCTACTAGACCTTTTTTTTTTTTTCAAAACGCGTGCATTAATAATACTTTACATAGTATAGCTCCTGGATGGAGACGACTTTTACGCTTTACTTCGTCTTCCATCAATTCGGGTAAAACTGATATTCATCTAGGAAATGTGACTGATCCTGATCACTTGTATCATGGTGTAGTTGAATGGGATAATTGTCATAAACATTTTGTAAAATATATATAAAAAGAGCATATGCTTTGATTAAATATCTTAATTCGTAATTCTAACAAGTATTTAATAGCATTTCCAACATTTTGGTACATACCTTTTCGGTGAAACGTATGTTGTGTATTTATTATTATTTTATCAATATCGAACCGATCTGATGAAATTACATTTTTACAGACTTGGACGTAAAGTGGGATTTTGCCTGCAAACTACATGGCGTTATTTTAATACAGAATATACTGATTTAAATACTCCATACGATACTTGTGCTTATCAAGGGATCAGTGTTGGTTGGGGAGACGACTATGTAGCAGGATTGGTATAGTAATAGGTTTTGAAATATATATTGGAAATTTCTAAATTTATTAAAACGTTACTTTTTTAGGGTTGTCAATGGATCGATGTTACTGATTTACCTGCACAAGAAGGTATTTTAAGTGAAAATTTAAATCCGGATGGTATGTATTTCGTTCACTATTGAATTGAATACTTTTGCAGTGATAAGTTTATGCCATATTTATAAAAATAACTTT